TGTTCGCTGGTAGTCACTGGCTGTCACTGGTAGACACTGGTAGACACTGGCAGTCACTGGCAGTCACAGGTAGTCACTGGTGTTGATAACACGAACTCTTCATGTAAATAATGTATACAAGATGAATACATTCTGACTGAACTAAACTAACAGGTCACGGTTGGTATCATTCTATTTCGTATACATTATGTTTATGTGCTGAAAAGTTAAAGTCTTTATTTTCGTTGTCAGGCAACAGGGATGAATCTGATCGCGTCACGTCCTTTCACTGCAGCGTTAATCCAACAAATCTGCGCCGTGAGCCACAAATACTCAGGGTTTTTTATTTTCAAAGGCAAAATAAAAACACGTTTTTACGTAAGTTTAGTAACAGACACCTTTAAAAGAGAAAAAGTGAAAGGACGCGAGCTAACCTGATAGCTGTGATAAAGAAAGATAACTTACCTCAAACTACGTTTGCAACATTACGGCATAAACACTCGTGACTTGTTATTACGGTAAAGTGACGTTAGTTCAGGTACCGGTGGTTTGTAGAAGTGACTGACATAGAACCGAATCTAGTGCAAACCAAATATCGTCTGATTCCGACGCTACCGAAGAAGGTAATGTTTGCTAGCTGTAAACCTCAGAAGTCTGAGCGTTGGCGGTGGCTTTAAGGAGTTGTTTCATAAAACACTTCCGGTTTGAAACGTCAAAATAAAATCTGTCTCAATTGTATTTGTAATTTCTGGGGATCACAAGGCTATTTTCTTCACATGTTCTTTATGTGAATCCAAACACTTCTGCGGTGTAATGTGCGCAATAATAATAATCGTATTTTTTGTTATTCAAGCTAAAGTCATTTGTTTTAGAAAGCGCTTAAAACCAACGGAGTTTAGACCTCTGTTAACCATCTGTGCTCTTATTTTGAAGGCATCATGCTAGTGTCTTTTTGGGCTCTTGCCCGCCCTCCGTCAGCCTGAGCCCGCCCTGAGAAGAACAGAACAAACGGTTCATTCTGGTCGAGGAAGAACCGTTTACACGTCCGTGTTCTTCAAGACGGAGTTCTACAGAGTAGAACAGTTATAACGATATCTGGGATTATTGGTTGATTATTAACCTGAGCTAAAATTATAGTAATGTACAATAACATTATTAATCACAATTTTTAGGAGTTTCTACAACCCTTAAATGTACAGTCATCACTAACCTGAGCTAAAATTATAGTAATGTAATTTCACAGTAATTAAATTTGACTGATGATTTAAATATCAGACTTGAAGGAAAACGCGAGACCATTTTTCTTTTGCAATTTATTGCTCATATAAACGCTATCTAAACAATTTTCAGTAAAAATAAAATCTATGCATAATGATCATAAATAAAACCCTCACAATTACTTTTACATTACATTTACAGTATTGCACAATTATAAGCCTTAACAGGAATCACAAAACACAATTGTTTGTTGCTCAGATTCTGTGTAATAGGAATGTTCTGAGGTCTGTGGTCACAGAAACTGACCGCTCACCTCACAGGACAGGAACCATTTGAACCTCAGCCATCTTCACTGGCTGCATCTAGTCCAGGTCTGAGGTCGGCTGCTGGACCAAGTCAGGACCAGAACATGGGTCACTTCACTTCCACAATCAGTTCCTCTGAGAAGACCGTGAAAATACCAGAGCACTGACATGAACTAGTGTCACCAACTGTTGTGGATACAGACCTGACCATGTCTTTACGTACTGTCTAGAAAACTTAGGACGGGTCACATGTTACTTTATAGTAACTAGTTCTAGGTAGAAGTTACTGTGGAGAAGGCACAGACACCAACAAACCTCTGGCTCACAGACTGCTCTGGACTGGGCTGCTGGACCTGCTCGACCACAGGGGGGCGCCAGAGTGACGGCCAAAAACTGACTTGACTTTTTACTTAAAGCTATGAATAATAATACCTTTAATGACCCTGAACAGCTACTGTCTTTAAAATACAAATAAACTGGGGGGGGGGGGGGAAAAAGTGTAGACACCTGGTCAACGTTTGACACAGCACCGTGTTCTGTTCTGATGTGACTATTGTTTCTCTGATGGAAATATTAATTATTTGTCACTGTGTCAAACACAACCAAATGTGTCCTCTGCTTTGAACCTATCACCAAAGCCAGCAGGGGGCAGTGTGTGCCTTGCACCTCAATGGCAACTTGGCAGCTGGTGGACTTGAACCTGAAACCTTCGGGTCCCACGTCTGATGTGTCCATGTCTCCACTTCTCTTCTCACTAACATCCAGGTCTGTATCACAACCACAGCAGGATTCAGGAAGTTCTTCTCTTCACTTCACAGAACCATAAGAATGGTAAGAACTTAAACCCACTGAAGGTTCTCTCTGTCCAGCTTGGCAGTTTGTGATTGGTCTGCTACAGACAGGTCACAGGAAGCAGCTCTCTGAGGGTGTGGTTAGCTGAAGTCCAGCTCCCTGCTGAGTTCAGGACACAGTTCCTTCAGCATCATTTCCATCAGCACCTGCAGAGACATGAAGAACAAGGATGAAGACAGCCGTCAGTCCAAACTGTCCCGGACCACAAGGAGATCTTACATAGAGAAGATGTTTGTTGGCACTGGTCTCCTGCAGGGCGTTGAAGATCTTGATGATTCCATACCGGGCGTTCTGCTGACCCACTAAATTTGTTAGTGCATCTGACAGACAGAGAGGAGAGGAGAGGAGAGGAGAGGAGGTCAACACATCAGTCTGACTGGCTGCAGTTTCTGTCAAGTATCTGAACGATTGTTCAGACCTGGAATATTGTCAAGTAGTTTCTGCTGGGCTCGTTCCTTGGTTTCATGACGTTCAGAGTCCGTTCGGACCTTGATGTGCGGTGCCAACTTCCCATCGGGCCAGAAGGTGTCCCTGAACGCACTGATGTAACACACCAACATCTGCTCCGAGAAGATCCAGTTGACCGTGTCTCGGATCTGTCTAAAATAGAGCAGAGACTGTGTCAGTCCAAACGTTTTTTACACACTACATTTGTCTTGACTTCAGAGAAGCTGCCGTGGAAACCAGTAAAATACAGTAAGTCGTTTCAGACCATGATCGTAGTTGTCGTATATTTTTATGTCAAAGTTAAATGTTTAGATGACTTACTTGTTGATGGTTCGTCCAAATGTCACCTGGACGAGTGCAATTAGTGTCTTTCTGACCCACTTGAACACTGAGAACACACACACACACACACAGAGAGAGAGAGAGAGAGTAAGACCTGGTGCCAAACATCACCTTGTTCTCTCTGGTGAACTCTGGTGACTCAGTGACTCAGTGACTCGGTGAATCGGTGACTCGGTGACTCGGTGACTCGGTGACTCGGTGACTCGGTGACTCAGTGACTCGGTGAATCGGTGACTCGGTGACTCGGTGACTCAGTGACGCAGTGACTCAGTGACTCGGTGAATCGGTGACTCGGTGACTCGGTGACTCGGTGACTCGGTGACTCAGTGACGCAGTGACTCAGTGACTCGGTGACTCAGTGACTCGGTGAATCGGTGACTCGGTGACTCGGTGACTCAGTGACGCAGTGACTCAGTGACTCGGTGACTCAGGTGACTCAGTGACTCAGTGTCCACGGCTCTACTCACTTCCTCTCAGTTCAAAGATTTCTCCAATGAGCATAAAACAGGGCTCTGCTAATGCGTCTTTCTTTCCATCTGTTTCTTCACCGTAGTCGGACAGGTCGCTGTCGTCATCCTCGTCCACCTGTTGACAACAACCACAACAACAACCACAGACGGTGATTTAAAGGCTAAGATTCAACGGTTTGTTGTTGGTTCTCACACAGACCAACTGTGGGTCTACCTCAGTGTGAGAGAAGAAGTCTCCAGGAAGTCTCTCCAGGAACGAGGCCAGAGAGAATGAAGACTTTTTCTGGATGGACATCACCTGTGATCAGCCAATCAGGTGTTAGGGATACTGTAATATCTAAGGGAGCCCCCACCAGTCTGACATCCAGGTGCTGTGTGAGATCTTACCTTCAGATGCTCGGGGGAGGGGCTGAGGAAGGCGTAGAGAGCCTCTGATTGACACAGACGTTCATCTGTCAACAAACGCTGCAGAAGACAAAGAATCCAAGTCACGGTGAAGCAGATCAGAACCAGAACACACTCTGGTCCAAACCTTTTCAGAGATCCAGCAAATATTTTATAAACTCAAAATCCCAACTGGCACCAACAAAAGAAATGTGTTAAAAAGTACATGTGATAAAATCTGTTTTCTAGACATCTGCTGCCACCTACTGGAGGAGTATTTAACTGTTGCAAAGTGGAACAAAAAGAAAACAGCTGCCTTAAATAAAAGTTTTCAGATCAAGTCAGTGAAATTGGACAACTTTCTACGGTCCACCTGATGACCTCTCACGACACACTAACGGGCCTCAGCTCAGTGGTTGGGAACCACTGCTCTGGATGAAAAGTTACGGAAGAAAAGAAAAGGCAGAGAAGGTTCCACAGCAGCACGGAGTTCTCCTCATGCTGAAGTATTTGCAGTAGTACTAGCTTTACCATGCTGAAGTATTTGCAGTACACACCCAGTTCTGAAACATTTACCTGAAGAAAAGCGTCCAGTTGAGTCTTACTCTTGTCCAGAAACTTCTGGTCGATGGACTTGAAGGGGAGTTTACTCAGTGATGGAAGCTGGTGTTTCTTCAGAGAAGGAAAACACTGAGGAAAGAAATGAGTTCTGTGAGTACTGTGTCCAGAGAGTACCCAGTAATGTGTCCAGAGAGTACCCAGTACTGTGTCCAGAGAGTACCCAGTACTGTGTCCAGAGAGTACCCAGTACTGTGTCCAGAGAGTACCCAGTAATGTGTCCAGAGAGTACCCAGTACTGTTGTTACCTCGGTGAGTTTCCGGTGCAGCATCTGGAACTCGGTGAGTCTCCTGTGGACAGTCCAGCGACTGTTGGCCGTCTCCTCTGCGTCCAGCAGACTGACACACACACTGTAAGAGGCTACAGTGTCACTGCCCTCCTCTGGAGCCTGACAACACAGTTAACACACGGGTTAAAGATCAACTGCTGACCTCGCCGTCTGGTCTGTGGACACTGACTGGGATGAAGTACCAGTACCAGTAGCAGTACCAGTACCAGTACCAGTACCAGTACCAGTACCAGTAGCAGTAGCTGTACCAGTAGCAGTACCAGTAGCTGTACCAGTACCAGTACCAGTAGCTGTACCAGTACCAGTAGCAGTAGCAGTAGTAAAGTGTGTTGCTGATCTGTTTCCCAGTGGAACTCGACTAAATTCTTGACTTGCTTGTTGTTACCTCAGCTGCAGTGATGGTGGCGCTCCAGTTCCCCAAATGTTCACACCACCAGTCCGTCCTGGTGATGTGCTGCTGCAGGTCATTGTGTTCCTTCTCCATGGCTCCAATCTCATCCTTCAGTTTACTCACGATCTGAACACAAACACGCAGCAGCCACGTGTGACTTCGACTCTAGATTAATCACCATCACGGTCATCCGTGACCGTCACTTCTTCTTCTACCTTCTTGTTTGGCTTCGGTGCGTTCTGGATGGATCCCAGCGCCTGTCGCTTGTACTCCAGTTTATCGTAGAGTTGTCGAAGTTTCGTAGCAGCGTAACTGGCCTGTTCGTTTATCCCTTTACTGCCTTCATCACACACCTCCTCACCCGTGTCAATGGCCTGGCACTGCAGACAGAGGGAGACAAAAACAACATGTACTCACAGGAGGAACCAGCTGCCACTGCAGACAGGAGTGTGTGTGTGTGTGTGTGTGTGTCTCACCACTTCATCCTTTTCCTCGCTGCTCGACTGTGATTGGCTGTTCCGCTCTTCTCTTCTGATCAACCTATCATAGATGTCAGAAACCAGAAAGGACGGATAATACCGCTCTCTCATGGTCTCAGCAACCTGGAGGACAAGAGGACAAGACGGAGACAAACTGTGAACAGCTGAATGAAGACAGCCAGTCAGTCAGTCAGACAGTCAGTCAATCAGTCAGTCAGTCAGACAGACAGTCAGTCAGGCAGTCAGACAGTCAGTCAGTCAGCCAGACAGTCAGTCAGTCAGTCAGACAGTCAGACAGTCAGACAGACAGTCAGACAGACAGTCATACAGACAGTCAGTCAGTCAGTCAGACAGTCAGACAGACAGTCAGACAGTCAGACAGTCAGACAGTCAGACAGACAGTCAGTCAATCAGACAGTCAGTCAGTCAGTCAGTCAGTCAGTCAGTCAGTCAGTCAGTCAGACAGACAGACAGTCAGTCAATCAGACAGTCAGTCAGTCAGACAGTCAGTCAATCAGTCAGTCAGTCAGACAGACAGTCAGTCAGGCAGTCAGACAGTCAGTCAGTCAGCCAGACAGTCAGTCAGTCAGTCAGTCAGTCAGTCAGTCAGACAGTCAGTCAGACAGACAGTCACACAGTCAGACAGACAGTGTCCTCACCTGCTCCTGGAGTTGAATAAACACCTGTGTTCCTCTGTTTCCCACCAGACTCTGTTCTATCTCCTTCAGCAGAACCTTCTCCACTGGAATCTCTCTGCTCTCCACAAAGAACTTCTGATAAATTTCCCCAACGATCTGTGGCACTTCATTCTAGGGTGAACACAAAGCAGACAAAGACGTGTGTGGGTACGACGGCTGTTGGTGTGGAGTGGAGTGTGTGAACTGACCAACAGTTGGGTCAGTGGACGCTCCCTCTGATCACGTCTCACCTTATTTGCGGTCTTCAGTGTTTCCACCAGTTCCCAGAAACTGATCAGAGCTCTTTTATCCACTCTCTCCATGTAGACACAGAAGTGTTCCCTGTAACCATGGTTACACAGGATGTCATCAAACTGGAGGATCTGCAGCACAGGGAGAAAATGAACAAATAACAACATTAGTTTGATGAAAACTTTAGGTCTTTAAATGAAGTACACAGAAAATGACCTCTGACCTTCTGACTCTGTGGTTCATCTCCTTCCTCGGCCCCTCCCTCCTCACCGTTCTCATAGTTGGGTCCACCCAGCAGACGAATCCTCTTCTCACACTGCTTCTTGGCCACAGTCAGCTGGTTGATGTAGCGCTTCATGTCTCTGGCCCGCAGCAGGTCGGCCTTCATGGCCGCAGACTCTTTACCTTTTCGCTCTGTGAAGGAACGTGTGTGTTCACGTCAGACTGACATGGTTCTACAGTCATTCAACAACCTCATCACCACTGGTTGAACTGGTCAAACTGGTCTGGTCTGGTTGAAACAACAACAACAACAGAAGAAGAAGAAGAAGAAGAGAAACAACAGGAAGTGGAAAGAGTTCCTTTCTTTACAGAATTTTTTTTTTTATTTCAACCAGTTGTCGAACATTTATATGGATTTTTAACCCATTCACGATCCATGGTCGGGTGACGTGACGGTGTTGTTTATATTCAGGTGGACACTGTAACACTGTAGCTCTGACGACAGCTACAGCGTCAGTCAACAACAGTCAACAACAGTGTTCTGTTCACTAACAGAGACAACACTTCTGCACAAGAACGTGAACGTGGCGTGTGTGTGTGTGTGTGTGTCCTGTTGAACATCCACAAATTAGAAGTGACAACTGTGCACATTAGTGAGGTCACATGAACACAGAGCAGAATCCAGGTCTAATTACAATGGGTAAAGGTCTTGACCTCTAACCTAATTTTGGATCATGACTTGGAGCGACTGACGCAGCTAAAATGTCACCTGACTGATGACACCCCCCCCTCCCTGAGAGAACGACAGCCGTTGATTGGTTCAACAGATTCATCTTTCTCCAACTTGGATAAAAATATGATAAAAATGTGAGCAGTGCTGGGGTCAAACAGTGACCCCACAGTGTGACCCCACAGTGTGACCCCACAGTGTGACCCCACAGTGTGGTCCAGTGTTCGTACCTTTCTGCTTCTTCAGCTGAGGCAGACTGCTGATGGTGGTGGCGTGGATGATCTCTACAACAATCTGATACCTGGGGGGGGGTCAGTGGGTCAGACCAGTACCAGTAAACATGTTATAGTATTAGTACAGGATAGGACTAGTATGGTATTAGTATGAGTACTACAAAGTATGTGTCGTGATAGTACTGTGTGGAAAGACGACAGTGTCTGAATGAGGTGCAGGTCAGGGGGGGGGGTCAGTGAGGGGGGGTCAGCTGTGTCAGACCTGAGTTGCGTGAGGAAAGTGACATCAGCGGAGGTTGATATCAGCTTGATGAAGTCCTCGTAGGAGGCAGCGTAGGTGTAGGCCTTCTTCTGCTGCTCGGCCTGCTGCTCCCTCAGCTCCAGCTGAGACAGCAGCGTCCTGTTGATGGAGTCTGGGTCACTCAGGACTTCTACCATGGGCTTCAACACTGGAGCACACACACACACAGAGCACATACACAGTACAAATACACAGACCGACTCTGGTACTTCATTCAGACTACACACCTTTGGAGGCGATGACCTCCGTGAGGCAGCAGCGAAGTATCTGAGACTTGGCGTCTTTGTGTGGCAGCAGACACAGCAGCAGAATTCTGGCCACACAGCGAAGGAAGTCCAGCTCTGACTCAGGACTGACCAGACACGAGTGCAGAGCGAACGGTCGAGCGCACTCCTCCGGTCTGACACACACACACACACACACACACACACACACACAGGTGACGTTTCTTCCTTTCAGTTTTTTCAACCTAACCTAAAGGAGTAACAGTATTTTACTGCTGTAACATTAATGTGTGTGTGTGTGTGTGTGTTTACCTGGCTACCGCAGCCTTGAGCTCAGTGAAGTGTGTGTGAAGTATACGGATGGTGTCGTAACACACCACGTTGACCAGGTCGATGTCGGCCAGCCGTGACCTCAGCTGCCTGGTCATCTGCCACCAGTCCTCTGACAGCAGGGCGTAGAGCTGGCCTTCGTCACGGCTCAGAGGAGCGTACCACGACAGCATGTAGTCTCTGTAGGCCATGTCCAACACTGCCCACAGACGGGGGACACACGTTACACACGTTACACACGTCACACCAGACTGTGGTCTACTGTGGTCTGCAGTGGTCTGCAGTGGTCTGCAGTGGTCTGCAGTGGTCACATGTCCCGCTCCACTGCTCTTAAAGACACCGTCAAACAAACTGTCATTTAACGTGTGTCTTTTTTTTTTTTTTAGTCATCAGTGAAACCACAAGTGTTTGTAGAACCCGTGACACCGCGGCCGCTCCCTCGTCATGTGCCGCTCAACACTTCTGTGTACGAGGGCGCGGAGCTGCCACAGTCAGACACTGAGTGGATTTAGGAACGCTGAACGCTGCAGAAGAGCGAGGAAATGAAGGTTTCATGGTGACCAGATGACACAATCAGGAGAATTCTGCTGCCTCAGTCAAATCACAGAGCTGCAGTGTTGTTCTACACCACTTCTCCTTTCACCACCAGCTGAAGACAAATCAGCGTTACTGGACACGGTGCTGTTTGACCTCCGTGTTTAACCCCGCAGTCACCAAAGTGGACGGCCTTGGAGTTATTAAGAGGTCGGGGGGTCGGAAGAATTTCAAACTTAATACTTTTGTATTTGCCACAGTGGAAATAAATCACTACTTTGTAATTTTATATCCATTTTCCCCTTGGTGAGAACATCTATTAAAAAATGATGAGAGGTTTGAAGCAAAAGCTCTGGGGATTTGAACCTGCGACCCTCTGACAAGTCAGATCTTCTTAGCACTAACTGTGGTTTAAGGTGGTTTAAGGTGGTTTAAGGTGGTTTAAGGTGGCGTTGAGGCTCATTCTCAGTTTTAATGCGTGTTTCAGTTCTTGCAGAAACCATTTGTTGGTGGAGTTTTTACGGCACCACATGTAGCCATTAACACGTGTGTCATGTTATGAATGAACCCTGTAAGATCTAGACGTGTGACCAACAGAGAACCTTCAATCATCGTGAACAACAACAGAAAAACAAACTGATATAAAACTCTATTTTTTACTCTGAATCAAGGCAGATCTCATCAAAGTCCTGATCCAGAAAATGTTTCATGACTTTGTTTGAATCGTAGTAAGGACGACTACTGACAGATGTACTCAGATTACTGCGTGGGTACTCTGTACAGTACATCACCATGTTTGGATGTTTCTGTTCTGACAGACTGTTATTGAATGTGTTTATTTTTATGCTGAATGTGTCATAGAGCTACAGACCAACACAGACCAACACAGACCAACTACACGCGTGAGTCAGAGCTGCAGGCAGGTGAGGGCAATCAGCTGTCAAGCGTGTTGCCCCCGACCACAGTACACACACTCAGGATCAGTGGTAAAGTAATACCATGCTAATACACAGTACACGTATTTGTACACAGTACACGCATTTGTACACAGTACACGCATATTAAATTAAATTTTTTGTTTCTTAAACATTCTGGATTTTTAACATTCACACAGGATCATGGGCAAAAAGACAATTTTAGATCAACCATCCATCCATCCATCCAACCAATCAACGATCCATCATACCATCCGTCCATCCCCCCAACCATCCATCCATTCATCCAAGCAATCATCCATCCATCCATCCATCCATCCAACCAACCAATCAGCCTGTGATCCAACTGTATATAGACACGTCACATGGTCATTACCTTCTTTAAGAGCTTTGTCTATATTGTGTGAGACCAACACCCTCCTGTTCTGGCCCGACTCCTGCACTGGGACCACGAAAGACGCCTGAAAAATAAACCAACATCAAATGACTTCAAATCACCAGCAGGGTGCACCGTCTGTAGGCTGACAACAGACAGGTGGACCGACACTGGAGGAAACCACGACCAAGGACACAACCATGTCCCTGAATAACAATGATGATAAATCACTGCAAACGTCTGTGTGTGTGAAGGGAGCAGCACAACGCCGCTTCATCCATGATGTCACCGCACAGCAAGGATCTGAGAAGAAGAGAGGAAACGACCTGGAGGACGGGTGGAGCAGCGGAGGAGATGTGGAGGAAGTGGACACGTACAGCTGACGAGCCCTGTTCAAACTAATGATCTAAGGTGAAGTATTCATCAGGGACCGTGTCGTCAGGACGACTGGTCCTATCACCCTGACTCTGACAGGATTCACCCACAGACAACCAGAGGTGTAGCTGGGGCAGTGAACCACAAGCAGTATAAATGTATAAATAAGATCATCATCGTCATCATCAGCCTGTGATTGGTGTCTGAAGAATCGTTCCTCTTCATCTAACACGCACCTCTTCTTCCTCCTCTACCACCTGCTGTGTTCACTGTCGCCTGGTTGTTCTTCAAACTCTAAGTCACTTTGATGAAGACTCCTGCCAACTGAGCAGGACGTACTCTGGTTACAGAAGTCACCGAGATCTTAACAAAGTCTGCTGACTGAGATGATCAGAGACTAAGAGATGGGCTCCTCGCTGTGACACCTGATCATGTGACAAATTAGACACAAGGACTGAGAAACTCGGGGGAAATTGTAAATTACTGTATATATGGAATAATAATGATTCTCCCTGATAATTATTTCATTAGGGAAATTAAAGATATTAGAAATATGAATACATAGAAATGTTCCTACCATACGCTTGGTGAAGAGGTCAGCCGGGGCAGGGAAGTGCCGTGAGTCCCTGTGGAAGTGGACGACTTTGAGGGGACTCTTCCTGACCAGCAGAACCAGACTTCCAGCCAGGACACACAGCAGGGCGAACGACACATAGATGAAGAGCTTCAAGAAGAAGGAGGTCAGAGCCAGACCCCCCCACAGCAGCTGGAACACCACCGCTGCCACCACAGCTAGGCACAGAGCGGGGACGACCCCGACAGAGGAGCCGGCAGGAGGGGTGGAGGGGACGGGCATGAACCTCCCCTCTGCTGCGGTGCTGCTTCTCCCTCCAGCGTGTGTGGAAGTTGAGGACGTTGGCATACTGCGACCCCACCATCCATGTACGTGTGGCTCGAGCGTCTGTGAGTGGAGTCACCGCAGTACGTGAGCGGAGTAAACGCTGCTTCACCCGGGACTACGCCACGGTTTTCAACAAAAGACATCCCCGCGTTGACATCTCCTCACTGAGTCGTAAAGCTACGTTCTTCCCGCTCCTGGTGGCGACTCCCCCGGCGGCCACTGGTTTGGAGCTCCCACGGTGCTTTATCTACGAAGCTGTGGAGAAGAGTGACAGAAGGAGGGGGGGGGGGGGGGGGGGGGGGGGGGTGCAGCAGGGAAAGATGTAGACCTATACTGCCCCTCAAGGCCAGGGCAGAGAATAGCACCCAACCAGGTCTGGGTGATGTGACTGATGGTGAACGTCTGTGTTTCAGTCGCTCTGGTCAGGACACGGACTGATGATGTCACAGCTGTGTCCAGTCACAGGTTCATCCAGTCACAGGTTCATCCAGTCACAGGTTCATTCAGTTTCTATAATTC